TATCCAGGACAGGAGAGCAGCGTGAGCACGAAGCCATCCATGAGAAGCTGATCCAATCCGACACAGTTTCTGCGCACACCAATCACACAAAGCTGGTTACTCAGGCATCGAACTAGAACCTCTCCTAACCAAGTTCGCTTTCGCTGATGGGGACGCAAGGAACTGCACCAATACTCCTCAGTATCTGTCAGAAAGAAATTTCCACCGCAAGAGTACAATCAGAACAGGAAGAAGGAGAATGAGACAGCATGGAAGCCATGGAGCCAATCCTATCAGCAAGGATGGAAGAGCTCGGGCTACCAAGGATGGGAGGATTATGGCGGAGGATATGCAAGCCAATCCGATAGCAGCTATTGTTGGTACTCGCAGAAGCGATGCGATACTATGACAACAATCCACGCTGAGAACCATCACACAGAAAAAGACACCATCTCTACATGACCATCATGCATACTCCGCAGTGTGACAAGATCACATGCAAGGCTTTTGGTACGGTCAGGACACGCTCTCGTCGATCTTTCTGGAGCGCCAAAACTGAAAGTGCACGGAGAAGCTCAACAACTATGTCTATGACGACGATGACAGCATCAAGTTCCCACACCTGTGCATCCAAGTCATCCGAGACCAAAGAGGACACATCTCAGAAACAGGATCGTTGGATATACAGTTGATCCTGAACATCATTCTTGACGACAATTGGAGCGTGCCAGGCAAACAAGCCAATGGTGCACCTGCGGGAAGGTAAGACTGTCTGTCACCTTCTCCAATACTTCGCTCAAGGACAAAGAAGCAGGTTCAAGGCCTGCTGCAGACAGGACCATCGACAAGAAAGGCAGGTCGACCATTGAGCCAGATCCTTTTCCACCATCCAAGGGTGAACCTACATCGCTTCCACTTGCCTTAGGCAGAATCCATCAGCGAACGCCCAAGCCAGGAGAGTTGAAAAAGCCCCACCTCCAGCATCATCACATGAACTCCCACCAATGTCAATTCAGAATCCAGAACTCGTGCGCTTCATTTGCCAACATCGTCGTACAAGCACCACGAAAAAACGAGTGGAATTAGAGCGGACACATTCGGAGACATTCATTGATGATTGTCAGGCTCTCCTCGGAACCGGAGAGCACACCATTGTCTTTGTCATCCTGGCTGGAGCAACCACGTTGTTGACTGCGCAGGCAGTGAATACCACGCAGGAGGTGAGAACAGCACTGTCCCCAGAAACTACTTTGACCAGTACCACTTGCCCAGATCAGTTGTCGCAGGTCAAGCTTTCAGCTTTCATGACTGAGACATGGGAGCATGACTATCAGTCCCTCGACATCAGCCCAGTCTCGTTGGGGCCAATACATTGCGGCCAAATTGAGCTGAAGCAGCCGACTTTTGAAGGGCAGATCATCACCTGCCTCGCTCCAAAAGGCTACACGCGACAACTCGTTAAGGCCGCTGCAACTGTCAGAAACCAGACTGCCACCTACGGGCGTTTAACACCACTGGAACTCGCATTCGGCAGACGACCCTACGCAATTGACGATCAACAGGAACGGTCCAGAACAAGTGCCCAAACAGGCCTACCCGAAGACATCTGAAAAAAACTTGCTCAGAACCTCCGAGTGAGCTCCAAGCCTCTTCAGGTGAGAGACAAGGTGTTCTACTGGCAGGATGAGAAAGCAAAATTCAATCTGGTGGGAGTAAAGGAGGCATATGGTTGAATATTTCCATCGAAGGTTGGACTGAATCTCCGAACTCGACTCATCAAGGTAAACATGACAAAGGTCAGGAAGGATGAAACCAGGAACTGATGATTTGTTGCCAGATGAAAAAGGAAACCTTGCAGAATGAAGAAGGAAAACCCCATGGCAAAAATCTTACGGCCATTATGCATCGACGGGAAACAACTCCTAAACCCTTAGCGCCAGCGCCGGCAGAGAACATGTTCGCGGAAGATCTCACCTCCGTTCCTGAGCAAAAACATTGGAATTGCGTGAGTCTTCTGCAGGATGCAAGATTCAGCCGCTGCGCACTGACAGGTCTCAAGAAACGGATTCGACGTAATGACATCCAAAGGACGGCATGGGGCAGACAACTGAAGACCAGCATTCTGAAAGTTGCAAAAACCTGGCCCAGAAAGCGTGGGCTGGCGACGTCTGTATAGGTTGGCTGGCAGGCTGTAACCTTTCGTGCAAGTTTTCTCCTGCAAGTGCGCTTGTGGGAACTTGCGCTCGTGCAAGTGTGCTCGTGCAAGTGCGCTTGCACAGGCGCGCTCATGCGAGCGTTGCTCGTGCAAACTTCTGCTCCTGCAAGTGTGCTCCTGCAAGTATGCTCTTGCAAGAGTGTTCCTGCAAGTGCTCTCCTGAAAGTGTGCTCCTGCAAGTATAATGTCGCAAGAGTGTTCGTTCAAAAGTGGGCTCGTGCGCTCGCATACTTGTTCCCGCGCAAGTGAGCTCGCGCAAGCGCGTCCTGCCGGCGCGCTTGCGCAGACGCTCTCGCGCAAGCGCGCGCTCGCGCAAGCACGTCCTGCCAGCGTGCTCTTGCAAGAGTATTCGCGCAAGTGCGCTCGCGCCAGTGTTCTTGCGCAAGCGTGCTTGTGCAAGCGCGTCCTGCAAGTGTGCTCTTGCAAGGGTGTTCGTGCAAGTGCGCTCGTGCAAGTGTGTTCGTGCAAGTGTTCTTGCACAAGCGTGATCGTGAAAGCGCGTGCTGCGAGCGTGCTCTTGCAAGAGTGTTCGTGCAAGTGCGCGCGCGAGCGCGCTCGTGCAAGTGTTCTTGCACAAGCGTGATCGTGAAAGCGCATCCTGCGAGCGTGCCGTTGCAAGAGTGCTCCCGCAAATGCGCTCGTGCAAGTGCGCTCATGCAAGTGTTCTCGCGCAAGCGTGCTCGCGCAAGCGCGTCCTTGCGAGTGTGCTCTTGCAAGAGTGTTCGTGGAAGTGCGCTCATGCAAGTGCGCTGGTGCAAGTGTTCTCGTGCAAGCGTGCTCGTGCAAGAGCGTCCTGCGAGTGTGCTCTTGCAAGGGTGTTCGCGCAAGTTCGCTCGTGCAAGTGTGCTCGTGCAAGTGTTCTTTCATAAGTGTGATCGTGAAAGCGCGTCCTGCGAGCGTGCTCTTGCAAGAGTGTTCGTGCAAGTGCGCTTGTGCAAGTGCGCTCGTGCAAGTGCTTTCGCGCAAGTGTGCTCGTGCAAGCGCGTCCTGCGGGTGTGCTCTTGCAAGAGTATTCGTGCAAGTTCGCCTTCGCAAATGCGTGCGCGCAATGGTTCTCGCGCAAGCGTGCTTGTGCAGGCACGTCCCGCGAGTCTTCTCTTGCAAGAGTGTTCGCGCAAGTGCGCTTGTGCGCTCGCGCAAGCGTTCTCGCGCAGGTCGCGCAAGCGGAATCCTTTGACACAAACGCCGGAAACAAATAGTATAGGCAAGAAGCGATCCTCAGGATTGAGACCAAGGGCGAGCACATGTATCCAGCGGGACTACCGTTCTTGACGGATGGCGTTTGTCACTATGAGTGCAACGCCGCAAATTCCTACTACACAGTCATCGGAAACGTGACACGATTCGAAAATCGTGGCCTGAAACACATGGCAGACGTTATCACCGCAAAGTCAAACTCCGCGTGCAGCAAGATCAACAAGAAACAATGGGTCCAACATCCACAAATATCCACCGTCAACATGGAGATGGAAGGAATCGTAGAATGTTTCAATGGCGCCCAAAAGGCTCCAATGAGCCATATTCGTATCTCCGCAGAATGTGCGGCATCGAAGAGATCCATCGAACTACGAGAAGCAAAGAATAGAGATCGACAGCTTCTTCGGTGTCCTGGATGGCTTGGCAACACATGTGTTGCATTGGGCCAAGGATCGCCGAACGCAGGAGGCCACCGAAGATCCACCGCATCCTCTGGAAACATAATTCCCGACTATGCAAGCTCGTGACCAATGAGCAGCCTACAAGCGAGGACATTCCAGTTGAAGAGTGTCCAACAGTTCGAATGGAACGCTCTGCCATCTTAATGGCACAGTGATCCAGAGACCCATTTCATCAGCATTTCCATTTCCATTCGCTCCGGGCATTCCGGAATTTCTCACCATAATTCGTCACTGTCTATTGTCTTTCAACCGTGTACATATTGAGACATTTCAATTCGAGTGCATAACAACACAGACTTCAGATGCGCTCGTTCAAAAGTAGCGCGCCTCTTTGAGTCATCGGAACAACCGATTAACTTAGATGGCTACGGCAAAAGTTTTCCTATCTGCTATCACTGCGCCACCCTTCATGTACAAGGGGCGGCGCGCCCTGCCGCCGACCATGCGCCGACCACGCGTAGACTTTTTGCGCTGCGCCCCATACTACTGGGCGAAGGATTTGCATATGTGCTTAGGGGTGTGCACAAGATGGAGAGCATCCCCTGCATCACCCGCATCCATGGCGGACATTGATGGAGATGATCCTGGTGATGCGGGCGATGTTGCCCACTACGCGCTCCTGCGGGCGGCGAAAAACCTCAAAACCACTGTTTTTAATGGTTTCACATGGATTCAAGGCCGCGTTGATGCGGAAAACGCAAAAACACCTTTTTCACGCGTGTTGGGAGGCATGGGCAAAAACGTTGAAAAACACAGTATGTTTAATGGTTTTTGGCGGGGCCGGCTGTTTCCGTAGCGCTTAAATCACCTGAGTGAAAAGTTGCAGGACCTGCAAGGTTATTGGTTTTTGGCACGGAGCCCGGTCAATATCAAGGTCACCTCTGGGCAAAGGCCCGGAGCTCAACAAAAGCAGCCGAACCAAATCGCGCAGGATCAATGGTCTGAAGCGTGCCCGAAAACAGGACTCCTTTTTACGTTTGCGCCCTGATCAGTTGGGCGTGTCCCTTTACTTGGGAAACCCGCAACCGCTTGGCTTGTGCTTTGGGATTCCCTTTCAAACCATCTCACAAAGGGCACAAAATCACCCACGTAGTCATTCTCCTTCAAAGTCTCGGTCAGGCTACACGCAGGAAGCTTTGGCCTCGGGCCAAAGTTGTTTCCAGCTGATCCCAGCCAGAACGCAACCTGACGCACGCTGCCCACGAAAATACCGTAGCCACACTCGCTCGTCTGGAGATTGATGGAAAGCCCGGCGATAGAAACAAGAGAAAAGCCGCTGAGCACATGCGCACAAATCGTCAACCAATGGCACACTCTCAAACGTGACCACCTCTCACCAGGCTCGCTACATAGCTGCTTTCGATTCCTAAGCAACACACGCAAATCATGAAACAAGCCATGGAAAGAGCGAGGATCTTGCAACAGTGTCAAGCTGATAAAGCAGAGTTGCAACGCAATGCACCTTAGTTTGCTTCACCTACGACATGACATAGCACTTGCTGCACACCAACGCCAGCTTCTTCAAACATGACTCTTGGTAGATGTTTGCCGTTTCATATTTGAGATTGAACTGTCAAGGACCACGCGAATCACTCTGCATGCCAGGCAAGGTAGAACGACCGCCAAACTTCTCTCGGGCTCTTTGGGAGCTTCCACAGAGGGCCAAACCAGGCCCACAGTGGCTGCGAGTGTCACAAACTCTCAATTCTCAAAGTCACAAGAACGACTGCACATCCAGGCCTATCATGTCAACCCGTGATTGATAAACCCTCCCGTTCTGAATCAATTCCTTTCTTTTGGGTGAGCCCTGATTGCGGACTGAGCTGTTCTTTGGGCCTATAAACCAAAAGAGAAAATGGAGGTCAATAAACAGGCTGGCGGCTGGAAAAGCAGAGCCTTAGCAACATCCCCGGCCAACCCCACACCTGGCAAGGCTCCTCTGGCAGGAAAAGCGGCACAGGCACTCCTCTGCAGGGGATGAGAGTGGCACCCAGCTCTTAGTGGTTGGCGTCTTCTTGCTTTCCCGTTTCCTCCCAACTAAGCCGGGGTCCACGAATCTTGAGAAGCTTGCATTTGGCTGCGGGAATTGTTCTACCTTCCTGAATACTGTGACCATCGACACAAGGGCATGTGACTGCGTCGGAAGTTGGCGCCGGCTCTGCCACGTCACGGCCGCCAGCCGTCCGACAATCAAGTTTCCCCAAGCTTAACTCCCCAAAGCCTTCCAGCGTCCTGAAGTCCCTCGAAAACGGAGCTCCCGCGCAAGGGAATCTTCCACAGAAACTGCTACGTCAGGGATAGTGCCAACAAAGCCGCCTCTCTGCCAAGCTGCGTGGCACAAAGGATCGAACCTCGGACTGGAAAACACGGCGCTAGGCGCCTAGACCTGCAAAATACAGCATCCATCGCCTTTCGCTTCTTGGGAGATTCAACGGATGCGGCTAATTAGCACGACAGCTGGAGAAACGCAGGGGAGGCTGGGCTCTTCAAGAGTTCCAACGACGTTGCCACTTCGGAGGTCAAAAAAGGAAATTGATGAACACATGGTATACGAGGACGGCCTTGCCTTTTCCTGAGTCAAAAGATTCTTTCAACTGTGAACTATGGATCCAGGAAACATGTTGTTTTTCTGGAAGCTCCTCAAGTTCCTTTGTCGCCCATTTTCTGAATTCGTTGCTGGCAATGCTTGTTTGGAATGTGGGGGGAAACAGCTTCATACAGTCATGGCATAGAGCATACACTGGACTGCTGCGCACCTAGGCTCAATCCTGCTACACAATCAAGACATGGCGCCAAGCAAGGAGCCTATACAAGTGTGCACATGTATGTTATTTATGTGTGTACCATCGACCCCAAGATCCACGCCGGAGTCTCAGCATGTTCTAAATGTTTTGCCTGATCAGATCCTGACCTAAGACTGCATTTACGTGGCGTGTGAAGAAGGAGACTGTTTGGTAGATGTGTTTTCTGGATGAGACCGGTTGGGCTCATTTTGTTAGAGTGGTTTGTTTCAGAAGGGCGGACTTTCTGCCATTGGAAGCACACAATGCTGAGAGGTCCCGTGTTTTCAGCTTTCTGGATGCAGTGAACAAGAAGACTCTCAGCCTTTTGTGGTTTCAACAGCCTTTCGTGTCAAGAGGCCCCTTAAAAATCAAGCCTTGACAGCTTGGATAGCTGAAGACTGCTGGGGACTAGATCTTGTAGCTTTCTTTGGATCTCTCAGCACGCTGTAATTCTAGGAGTGTTGCGAAGGTGCCTACTCAGGCAGTTCTATTTGCACGTCCAAGCAAAATGCAATTTCAGTTCTATCTGCCCCGCTTGGAATTGCAAGGCTTTAAGTTAAGAAGGTTTACAACTTGAAATTAACCATCGAAGTGACGTTACTATTTTTAAGTAGACCTTAAATTCGATGTCCTTTCCATGTAGCGGTCGAATGAGAATGCAAACGGACACCTAGTGAGGAAGGAAAGGTTTGTTGTTTCTTCGTTTTAGTTTCAGTTGAGTTGGGCGAGGAACAGGAATCTTTCACCAAGTGGGATTCTAATCAGAATTTCCGTAGAATCTAGTGACAAGCTGTAGAATCAGTTTTTTCAATTAAAGCTGCTTTGAACTAGATGTTTGGAGTTTCTTTCCAAGTCAGGCTCTCAAATCTGGCGAGGAAGGACATGCTGAAAAGCCGATGTTCAGTTGCAAGGCTTTCAGCTTCAGTAGCAATTTAGTTAGAATCTAGGCATGTCAAAGCGTTGTCGCACGCACCCACGCCACTCCTTAAAATCACAGATCTCTGGCATTCTCACGCCGCTTCACGACCCCACGAGGGGCTTCTTGATGCCCTGGCTTCAACTCCCTCCACCCCTTGACCTCTTCTCACCACTGCTTCTGCTTTTCTGCCTTCACTGCTACTGCCGGTCTCCCATCACCAGATTGCTTGCCCGACCCCTGTTTTCCCTCCCACCCTTCTCGGCCTATAAGATCTCTCTCTCTCTCTCTCTCTGTCTTTCTCCCTGTCTCTCTCCATATGTGGAATTGCTCTAGGGAGTACACTCAAAGGGATGTATCCCCCTCTTTGCGGGGAGCGGGCGAAAGACATGTGCTGAAGCCGCAATCGTGGAACAGACAGGCATGCGTATGTCTTACAGCTCACCTCTCCTGGAGCAACAAAGATGTTGCATAAACATGTCCTAAACAAATGAGGCGTGGGTCATAGGCGGGGAGCGTATTCTACAGCACTGCAGACACAAGCAAATACCAAAATATACTTACAGTAAATGAACAGGAACATTTCTGAACTATTGGCGAAAGGACAACCACAAGCAAGACTGCGGAAAAACCCAGTACAGCGTTTCTCACTCGCTTCAGTTCCTGTGGCCACATAGCATTGCATGGACATGCGTCGCGCTGCACACTCCAACTGAAAAGCATCCAGGCGGCCAACACGTCCTGACACTCAGCGTCTTCGGGCGCATCGTAGCGCAGCCCGTCGCCGTCTCGCACCACTGCAGCTTTGCCTCGACAAGCTTGATTTTCAAAGCACTGCACCTCGACATGACTCGATTTGCCCGAAAGACTTGCTTTACATCGAGGGTGTTCACGCTTTCAAAACCATCGCCTGGCAGCAACCCAGGTTCAGTTGGCGGGCAGTCAAATGGAACCCAAGAAGTAAGGAACCCAAGCCCACACCATTGGCCATTTCCGAAGTGGGGAATGTGTCCCGGGCGTCAACGGAACACAAAAGAAGCTCCGGCAAGGCTCAATAATTTGCACGATGGCGTGCTTCTGTCATCACGCAGGAAAGCACATGCAAGAAGCCCGTTCGCGCGCTTTTCAGCAACCAGACGTCGCCGTCTGGCCATGAAAGAAAATACACCAAGAAAGGAAGACTTCCCACCCACGTGAAGCGCAAGGGACACAAACCTTCTGGAAGGCATGTTATAGTTAGAACGGACCGTGCCTAACTTTTCTTCATCATCGCACCGTGTACCCCCCCACACTCTTAGCAACATTTGGAAAACAGCGCCTCAAAACAGCACAACTTCAAAAACAACAATTCAAAAGAGGTAGTTTCCTAGTTAGCTTATCCAGTATGTTTATATGCAATATTTTCAAAAGTTAGTTTTCGAAATAAAAAAATAACTTCAAAATCATTTTACGACAATATCTTATTCATTTTTCAACAGTACCATTCCGAAGTTTATGATAAAATATGCTACAGAAATTTGTCAAAAACTGTGAAACCATTATAAGCAAAGTTTCCCTCATTCATTCTTAATTGTTAAATCTATGAAACAGTTCTCGGGAAATACGACCTATGGAAAAGATGCTGGGTTTATTCAGTTTTCCATCAATACATATTTCTCCCCTTCCTTCAAAATCCTCCAGTATTCTAACGTTTGCTCTTTTGGTTGTTTGATATGTTGTGTTCAACATCTCGCTACATTTTTACGTTTTCCTCAAAACTGGTCTACCCAAGCCGAGATTTTCAAAATATTACGCATCGTTTCCTTCTCTTCATTGGTATTATTTGGTTCAACTGCTTTAGCATCAAACCTTTGTTCAATTGTTTTAGCAATTTCTGACAATGCTGTAACATTGTCACTAACAGTTATAAGTTTTTCATGAATTCGTTAATGGTGAAATTCTGTGTTTCAGAGTTAAAAAATGATTTACATAATCATTCATTTACCTATTTATTGGGTATAAAACTGATTTAATGCTAAGTCAACCCTTTATATACTATTTTCTCATTCTTTCTCAGGCGTAAATAACCTACAAAATCCACCTTTTGATGTTTTCTACCCAACTTTCTTCAACTGCGCTTCCGTCGGAACTTTCCGCTTTACTGTATGCGTGTTTCTACCACATGAACACGGCCAACATTTGACCTTAACGTGTTCTTTGTCAAACTCTCATTCATGCAGTTGTTTAACTGTTTGGCCGCATTTGTCGCATTTGGCACATTCAATCTATTTTGGTTTTTCTTCCTTCTTCTTTGGTGGCATGTCTTACCATATCATTCGCATCTTTATTTCTGGTAAGTTGTCTTCGTCGCTTCTTTAATTCTAATGAATAATAGCATTTTTAGTTTTTAAGCAGTTATTGCAACTATTTGCTATATCAATGTAACCTGAATGATTCCTACCCATATTGGATAACAAGATAAATCATAATTAACCTTGTTATTTAGAATACCCTATTTAGCATGTTCGGGGCGCTTCGCGCTGCACACTGGCGCGGGGCTCAAAATTAACTCAAGCTAATTAGCTTCAGTGCTTATTGATTGAAGTAATGAACATCTGTTTCATTTCTGATACGCCTATATCATACACGATAGTTCATACAATTATGTATATGACTATTTCTAAATAGTATTAAACTAGGACTGAAGTTCCAGGAATGAACATACCTGATTTTGAAATCAAGCAAACAAAATGCAAGCGCGTGCCAAAATTACCATTCAGAAGCACTGTCGAACTCGCAAGGGGCAAAACAGTACTTTGTCAGAACCGTATCTTAAATGTTTATAGAAATTCATGTGCAGGAGCCGAATGACCCTACATTCATTCACACAAGTTAAACAAGTATATTCGTGGTGAATTACACGTGGATGAATGAAAAAGAACAAACCTATTTTGACAAACATAACCCAATTGATCTAGAAAATGCAACTCAAAGACAAAAGAAAACAATAAGTTCTATGAAGTCTGAAGAGTTAAAGAAACCAAAAAATGTGGTTGAAAGACAGACGAAATAATAAACTGTGTGAAACTAAAAGATATGGAAACTGCGTTGCATATTAACCGTGATAGATGACCACGCAAACGACCCTAAATTTGCTAGATATAATATATTACCAGTAGAACCGGCGAAGCCGGTGGACGGAAGTTTCTAAAGCGAGAAGAGTGCCTATAGGAAGAGCTTGGCTTGTTTTTTCTTGGTTGCGACTCTTTCTTTGGCTCTTTCTGTTTCTTTCCTTCTTTCTTTCTTTCTTTCTTTCTTTCTTCTTGCTTTCTTTCTTTCTTTCCTTCCTTTCTTTCTCCTCTTCTTTGGCGTCCACAGAGTGTATCTTCTTTCTTTCTTTCTTTCTATATCTCTGTCTTTCTCTTTCTCTTTGCATTTGATCTGTCTTTCTATCTATCTATCTATCTGCACCTGACCTTGCGAAAGTGCTGCGCCTGCCACGGAATCTGCACTTGACCTTGCGAAAGTTCTGCGCCTGCCACGAAATCTATACTTGACCTTGCAAAAGTGCTGCGCCTGCCACGAAATCTGCACATGACTTTGCGAAAGTGCTGCGCCTGCCACAAAGTCTGCTTGCGAAAATGCTGGGCCTGCCACGAAACCTGTACTTGATGTTACGAAAGTGCTGCGCCTGGCATGAAATCTTGACTCGACCCTATCGATCGATCTATCTATCTATCACCTGACCTTGCGAAAGTGCTGCGCCTGCCATGAACTCTGTACTCGACCTTGCGAAAATGCTTCGCCTGCCACGAAACCTGTACTCGACCTTGCGAAAATGCTGCGCCTGCCACGAAATCTGCACTTGCCCTTGCACGGGCACAAAACGCTGCGCCTGCCACGACATCTGCACCTCAGGTTGTCAAAGTGCTGCGCCTGCCACGCAAAATAGACCTCCGAACACGTCTGCGCAAGCATTACAGTGGGCAACATTCCGAAACCGTGGCGAGACCGTGGCGAGATCGTGGCGAGACCGTGGCGCACCCGCACGCAGAACAGAGAGGTACCCTTCGCGATTCTCCGTGCTGACTGACTTCACTTCTGAATGCGTCCGGATCTTGTGATTCAACTTTTCGTGTTACGGAAGTTTTCTTACTAAACTTCCTTTCACTACACGATCATTTTACGAGAGGTAGGAACGATGCCGTAAGTGTAATTAGTTCAACAATAAATCAAATGTTTTAGCGCACTTCATCTGTTTAACTGCTTGTTCACTACATGTTTAGGTTGAGAAATGCCAGTGAACCAATGAGACGAAAATTCGCCATTGCTGATTTTCAGCAACTGCTAGCTTTGTATCATCAAGGTGTTCATGATGCGCCTTATATTTTCTGTAAATATGAATGGCAAGAATGTGAATGACATGTTTTTATCCGGCTTAGACAGGCATTTCAATTTACTGGGAACCTCATAATAGTAATAGATTGTAATATTGTTAATAAAATTAAACTAATGAAGCGTTGCAAAACAGTTTTTCCGGCAACGCATATACTAACTTGTCTGGCTTCTGGGCTTCTGATTCTCTATTCGTGCCACACATTCTTGCATAGATGTAATTGTTAAAGTATCTGCCCTTGGTTATTCATCTACTCCTAAACTCTTAATGTCTTCCATACTGGTATTTTCATCATTTTACTTTGACCAATACCCATTATATAGAGATTAGTTAGGTACTATCTTATCTAACTAATTAATCAGGTTCTCAAAGAGAATATCAATATTGGTTAGATTAGATTTTTTCAATGTTTCATTTTTCCATTGCTTCTTCTTCATCACTTTCTGCAGCCGTGGGCACTGGTATTTCTGTTGGACTTGCAGAGGAATTTCATAAATTTCTACTACGTCTTGTGCTACTACTACTACTTTCTGCATTTCCTGCCATTGTCTCATTGACTAAACCTGCACTATTTCAAGTTGTTGCAATTGTGCTGTGTGGTAAGTTTAGCATGATAACTGCTACTGTAGCCCCGTTGCGTAGCATCATTTCTATCATGTTTGTCAGTTTGAACTTTTTTCTTCTTCGTCGCTGTCCTCCTCATCTGGCGGTTTCTCTGGCGGTGGTTCTGGCGGTTTGTTGTTGTCAAGCATGGTAGTAAAGGATGAAACCGTTGCACCACGTCTTTTTTTCAGTGTTTGTGTTGCTTGTGCTCTTGTTAGTTCATTTCTTTTGTATGTGTTGCGCCAAAAAGTTTTGAAGCGTTATTTTAAACATATTGTCTTGCCTTAGATGCTTCAAATGTTGTAGTGTAGCGTTGTGTTGCATCATGATATGACTTTTCTTGTGTCTCTCTGGTTTCTGTAGCAATGGTATTTGTGTTGGTTGCAGTGTCAATAGACTTTCTTGGCGTGCCATTTCTCATGATTTTTTTGCGGTTGTCTTGGCGGCGGTGGTGTGGTTGGTTTCATTAGGTTGTGTGTTGAAAAACTGTCGTCATCATCATACTATCACTGAATTTCTGCTTCTCCTTTCTCAGAATATTTTCGTTAATATTTTCAGCACATATACTTGTGTTAATATTAACGTTCACCACTTCCTGTCACTCTACTTGGAGGTCTTGCCATTTTTGTAGTTGCTCCTATTACTTGTTGAAGTTTGGCGATATATTTGTAATAAACTAAGTCACCATACATCTGGGCGATTTGGTCTGCTATTGGTATTCTTACATCGCCTTTTGCATTCTTATGTAGCCTTAATAAATGGGCAATTTGATTGAATGTCTGGGTGTAGTTCTTCAATCCTTGATATAATTCGTCATTCATTTTTACTTTGTG